TCTCTACAACACATACTTTCCATTCCACGAGTTGCTTACAAGGAAACACGGTGCTAAACCACAAGTGTCTCTTTCAGGCAGCTGGCCATGTTTATTCTTCTGTTCCTTTAACTTGCTTTTATCTGTGATTATCCTGTTTTATCTTGCACTGTATTCTGAAAAACATCTAGAATACTGTTTGGAGCAGGCAAACTGCCTTTGGGTACCACATGTTCACAGCACTAGTGAGATGGTAGACCAGCAGTCTAAAGGAACAGCTAAGTTGGTCTACGCAGCATACACCATGTACACCGGGGTGGAATCCCGGTTGTGCCACTAATAGCTGTGTGATGAGGGGCAAGTTACGGAACCTCTGTGTGACTCCGCTTCCTTGTCTGCATCATGGGGATGGTAACTGTACCTACCTCAGAGGGAGTCACATGAACTTAATGTGTGAGTTAGTTTGGACCAGGTAAGTAGGATGCTTTTGTTCCCACACCATGGTTAGCAGAAGGCTGCATGCCCCATGCCGCAGTGCACGTCCCGGGCTCTGGGAGCTGAGTCTGAGCAACCCCCTTCTTTCAGCGTGATTCTGGATGAGCAACCTCGTCCCACTGTCCCTTCTGCCTCCCGGATCTTCCTTCCTCTTCCCCACCATGGGATCCTGCTCAGTTTTCAAGTCCAGCCCTCACCTTGCCTCCTCTGTGCATTTCATTAACAATCCCATTCAACAGGGCATCACTTCTGAAATTCCACAGCCGCCCACGGTTCTCATAATCCATTTACTACGGACATTTGCAAAACCTGTGTTCTCTCCAACTATCCCAGTGATTCTTAATAGGCAGGGGGAGGGGAGGATTTTGCCACCCAGGGGACATGTGACAATGTCTGGAGATGCGTATGGTTGTCACAGCAGGGGGGTGTTCTATGGCATATAGTGGGTGGAGGCCAGGGATGCTGCCGACCCTGCAGTGTCCAGGGCAGCCCCCACCACACAGAATCAGCAGCCCAGAGTGTTCAGTGCTGAGGTGGAGAGCCCTGAGCTGATGTCAGCCCCTCGAGGGCCAGAGCCATGGGTTCAATGCCAGGGTCCCTCCGGTGAGAGCCTCACACTCGGCAGACCATCAGCGGAGGAAGGTGTATCAGTGAGCACCCCCGAGGAGTGAAGTGGGCCTTAGATGAGTGATGGACCTGCGGACAGGAGAGGCTATTATTTCCACCCAATTTCCAGATGCTGACTGAAGGATATGTCGAGACCAGGGAAGGTGTAGGAAGCTGGTTACGACACGCTCTCTGGGTGTGCTGCTCGCTCCTTGGGAGGACAAGGTAAGTGCAGAGATGGAAGGACTGGAAGATGCAGGGAGGGAAGCGCAGAAGGCGCCAAGCGCTAAGTGCTGTGGGCAGCGACCAGCCAGCCAACAAAGGGAGCTGTGCCAGGTTTGGGGAAAAAAGGTGGGAGAGTTGGGAAGGACTTCCCACTCAGGGCCAGGAACAGCCCACACTGCCCCTCATTTGTAGGAACTAACTCAGTCGCCCAAACGTCCTTCAGCTCAGTGGCACGGATTGCCCTGTGTTCCCTCAAAATTCAAATGTTGGCAGTTCTTACCCCTAGAACCTCAGAGTATGACCTTAGAAGAGATGATTTAGTTAAAATGAGGCTTTTTTAAAATGGTGACCCTAATGCAACATCACTGGTGTCCTTTTTACAGGGGGAAATTTGCTCCCAGACACACACACAGCGGGGAGGCGAGGTAAAGAGACAGGTGGAGGACAGCGCCTAGGAGCCAAGGAGAGGGGCCCAGACCAGACTCTCCTTCGCAGCCTCAGAAAGAATGCAGGAGGCGTGCGCTGCACAGAGAGACAGCACCTGCTCTAAGCCGTGAGGGAGGAGGTCCAAACCAAGCTGGAGGGTCAGCTGTGTCTGCTGGACTTTGGTGTTTCCATGACTTTGAAGGGAGAAAGTACAAAATATATCCTGAGGTTTGTTCTAACTGCTGCCAAATGAAAGTTCCATGGGGGACACAGAACTACAGGAGATAATCTGTGTCCCCGACCCTCGCCCCTCCCAGCCCCGACAGGCAGGGTGGGCATTCTCAGGTCCCCTTGGATGCCCCCGGTCTCCGCCTGAGGTCAAGGACGTGCCTGTCTCTCCTGGGGGCAGACTCGCTGCGCGGTCGGCCTCAGAGAAGGAAGAGCAGGTGGGTGAGCTAGGCTTCCCTTCCCCGCGCTGGTACTTACATCTCATCCTCAAAGCAGATCTTGGCATACTTGTCCCTGCCACCCCCGCTGAGCAACCGGTAGGCATAGCTGTTTGCGGGGCATGGGGTCCAGTGGTCACATTTTTGCCTTTTCGGAGCTGGCGCTGTAACGAACAAGAGGACGAGAGTTAGCGTCACGCAGGATCTGTTAGATGGACCCCTTGCTTGAGCACACACGGCAGCTGTTCTGTCCCAGGACTTCACACCAGCAAGTCTCCCAGCAGCAGAGGGGAAAAAACTGGAAGACGGGAAGCTGTCTTAAAAGAGCAAACGTACAAATGGGAGGGGATGTTGACCGGGCGTCAGGATTTCACAAGAGCTGGGAATCGCTCCCTGGCTGCTCGCCATGCCGAGACCCTTGGACTGCAGTGCACAGTGGCTGCTATTCCAATTGAGAAAGATTCCCTGGGCCTAAGAGCGCTGCAGACCAAAGAGGCAGCACGTGGAGCACCTATTCGGCTCCCGCATTTACACAGCCTGAAACACACACACATGGTGACCGCCACCCTGGCCATGCCTGGTCCTCCCCTCCTCTCCCCCGAGCCTGAGGCTCTGAGCTTTTCTGCCTGGGCTGCTACGTCAGTGCTGGCAGGCCCAGGAGATGTTGCACGCGGCACCCCCATTTCACGGGGGTCAGCATCTGGGGAGGGCTGGGCACCTGGCTGAGGCGCCCGGCTGGCCCTGGGCTCCCCGACACCTCCCGCTGCTGGGTGCTGCACTGCCGTCCCCCGCTGTCTCCCCGCACCGCAGGTGTGGCCCGTCGTCACCCACAGAACCCGCTGTCCCGTACTGCATTCAAACTGAAACCCTGAGTCTCCAGAAAAGAAAAAAATCAGAAAGTGAGCTCACTCTTCCAGTTGGACGGGGACGTGCTTGTTCTGTGGATCGCTGTGATTTTCTGATTAGCTAGACACACGGCCATAGAGGGGCTGGAAGGCCCAGCTGGAGGGAATCGGATGCAGACGTGCGCTGTGACGGCCAGCGAGTGCTGCAGTAAGTGGTTTGACTTTCCGGTGGTGCAAAAGGGACACGCATTCAGTAAAAATTGTCCTTCAAATTGTGAATTGTTACCCTCAGCCAAGCTGGTGACATGTATGACAGTGCGCTGGTGGCTCTGCTGCACCAGTCAGCCCCCAGATCCCAAGGGGAACCACTGACGTCACTACAGTGTTCGCTAAAGGAGACACTCAGCCCAGTTATAAAGTCGGTTTTGTGACAAAGGATTTTGCCCAACCGTAGGCTAACGTAGGTGCTCTGGCCACAGTTCAGGCGGGCAAAGCTAAGTTGTGACGTTCAGTTGGTTAGATAACTTTTCAGCTGATGATGTTTTCAACTTGAGGAGGGTTTATTGGGATGTGACCCTATTGTGAGTCGAGGAAGCTCTGCACTCAGTCTAGAGAGACCACTCTTGAAGTGGGCGCCACTCTGGTTCTCAGGCCACCTGCATTTCCCGTACCGTCGGTGACCCCTCCCCTGAGCAGGCACACAGACTCACTCACTGTCACGCGGACTGCCCTTGGAGAAGGACGTTATTTCCAGGCCCGCTGCCATCAGCACGATGCTGCAGAAGTGCCCTGGCTACGGATCCTCTCGACCCAGGTCCTCACTGAGCGCTGCAGACAGGTGTGCTGTGACCCGCAGGGGTGGCTGGTCTGATGCAGCCCCAGCCCCAGTGGAGCTCCAAGGATAAAACCGTGAGAACAGCAGGCACCTCCTGACCCCCATGGGATATGGCAGTTTGGAGACAGAATGACAGGAGATTAGTGGGGGAGGTAAGAGGGAAATCAGAAACAGTATTGTGCTTTGCTTTAAAGCCAGCTGAAAAAATAGAGGCAAACGGGGTCTGATAACGTCACGGTGCGCTGGAGAAAGGTCCCCACAGGGTGAAAGAGGCACGTGTCTTCCGAAGCCACGGCCAAGCATCACCCACGCTGCTTGTGAGCTGAACAGTTAAGAGCGACTCACAGGTGTGACTACCCTGCCTTCATCTTCCCCGCCACGAACCACGTGCTGTCTCCTGTGCCAGCGAAGCAGCCTGGTCAGTAAGTACGTGAAGCGACTCAGAAAGCTGAGAGAAGTTACACTTAGATGAGGAATTAAACTTCTGAACAACAGGGAAGGAGAGGGCAGCAGGGCAACAGAGTACCTCTTTGCAAAAATGTTGGGAAGATTTCGAAAATAATCTGTATTTTTTTGACTTAGCTGAAAGCTCTGCCTGCCAACATATCAAATAACAGTTTATATACTTAATATAATTTAAAGAACATTAAAATATATTTTATATTGTAAAAAGAGCAGTGAATGTTTCTTTTTTTAGGGAAGTGTAGCTGACTTACAATGTTGTGTTAGTTTCAGGCGTACAGCACAGTGATTCAGTCACACACATACATATGTGTGTGTGTGTGTGTGTGTGTATGCCACACATTCATTCCTTGCCCTTCTTTCTTTGGATCCGGCACCAACAGGCATTGTGAACCCTAAGCAATGATCTCCCCTCCATGATGGGTGCCCGAGACAGGGGCAGCAGACTCCAAACTGAGAACAGGTGGAAGGTAGGCAGAAGCAGGACGTTCTCTACGACCAGCTTGGCCAGAAGAGACAGGGGATGACCAGGTGGGACAGCTGGGCTGGGTTCTGACCCGAGATGTCCCATGTTCCTCCTCCTGCCAGTCAGAAGGATGAACCAGTCTTGGGGGCAGCTGGCGCCCTCTCTGCTCCTCCTGGCTGAGGCAGACCTGGGGGCCGGGGCCCAGGGACAGCAACAAGGTGGCCCGTCCCACTGGGCAAGCAAGGTCCTGAATGAGCCTCAGTCTGCCTGCCTCTCTTGCCCTCTGACCTCAGGACACTCACCTGAAGGCCTGACGCTGGAGTCTCCCTGCATGGCCATCACAGGGACCCCTCCCCTCCCCACTGCCTTCCTCCTCCCACGGGGATCTGGCTGTCCGTGTGGCAGCCAGCTCCCCTGGGTGCTGGGGTGGGGTGGAAGCAGGAGCCTGCGCCCTACTGGGAGCGAGGCTTCTGCTTGCAGAGGGCAGGCCTTCCGAACCCAGGGCCCCTGCAAAGTTCAGGTGCTGCTCACGAGGATACGTGCAGGTGGGGTTTCCAGCAGGCAGGTGACGGGTTTGCATCAGCTTCTCCAAGGAGGATGTGGCTCTAGTGGCAAGGGTGACATGGAGATGGTATTCGTGTTTTCTCACTGTCTGGGAACGGTCGAGTAACTCGTATGACATTTTTTAAAGGCTTTCTTACCTTTCCATCCATTTCCTAGAAGCACAAAATGTCATTACGTGAATGAAGAAAGATCGTATTCCTTATTCGGAGAGAGGGTGTCAGGGCAGATGTGTCTTCTGAGAAGACAGAGCTCTTTCGCACCTGCCTGCCTCTTCTCCTACTGCACTCCCTGAAGGCCACCTCCAGGCTCTCAGCACTTTTCCCGACATTCCTTCCCCAGATGAGAAGGTAACGCTCAGGTGGACAGAGGGATGCTGATGCCCCGGCCGGGGGACCGGCAGCCTCCTGCTCGGTGTCCTGCCTCCCTGTGTCCTGAAACACCTGAGCATCAGACGTCCTGACCGTCAGCATCGCCTCCGGCAGAGCGGGCCTCCTGCTGTGAACTTCTGTCTTAGAACCGACCCTCTTCCTGAGGAAGGTCAGCTTTTCTCGTACTTACATTTATCAAAACAAACACAGTGTCTTAGACGCCACCTGGACCCACAGGGTTTTTAATTTCCCGAAGCGGGGTTCAGGACTCTTTCTTTCCTAAATACTTCCTGATTTGGGAACTATCATCTCATTCACCCTTTAAATGGGCCAGATGATTCCAGAAACACCGTCTTGCCGTGTGCACCAGGTCGACAGGGATGATGACTGCATCGCAGCCATTTCAGTTCACACTTCAGTGTGAGGTTCAAGCCCAGGCCACACCCACAAAGAGTGCTCGTCTCTCTGTGGCCCAGGATCCTGTCTGGCTGGAGCCTCAGCGGTGCAGGTGGCGCAGCTCAGCGGCTCAGCAGCGCCCAGGTGGGGAAGTGCTGAATCCTCCCGCGGGCGCGGCGCTGAAGGCAGACTGTGCTGCCGAGGCGCTGAGCCCCTCCCGGGGCCCCTCCCCACGCCCCGGGGGAGAGTAGCACTGCTGCTCACATGCCTTCAGTGTGGGGTCTGGAAACCGGCACCGTGTCACATGTTCAAGGCTGTGATCCTGGGTTCTACCAGGTGGAGTCGAAGCCCAGAGGTCACAGCATCACGATGCGGGAGTTTATTTCAGAATCGGAAAGAGCCCGTATGTAAATAGCACCCCCAACGATGGGGAACAACCCAAAGGCATCAGCGGCTAGCGAGTGGCGGGATTAGAACGAAGATGAGTGTTCCTGGCTTCCCGTCCGTGTTCCAGAAACAGCAGCGATTCCGCTGTTCTTCCATTTCATCCTGGATCAGAGTCCAGGCAGGTGACTCAACACGGCCAGTTCACTCGGTTTGATTTTGTCTCCCAAGACCTTCCGGGACAATGACGGAACGATGCGCGTCGGGAGAACGTGGAAGAACACGTGCGCGGCGCTCTCGGCCGCGCGCCCCGCCCTGTCCTTCCCTCCGCCGCCCGCGCTGTGAGCCCGGCTTCCAGTTAAACCCATTCCTTCACTCAGTCACAAGTCCTAACTACGCGAACACCTAATCCCCACGGGCCTGTGAAACAGCAGACACCGCCCGCAGCCCTGCAGGAACAGCGGTGACACGCGAGCAGGAGAGACAGGCCGTGAGAGAGTGAGGAGAAGGTCCCCGCGCCTGTGAGACGTGCCCTGTAGGAAACAGGCGAGAGCGGCTGAATGTGGTGAGAAGCGCCCCACAAGTCGACGAGAACAGAGCACAGCCTCTCAGAAAGGGCAAGTCACAGATGTGTAATTACAGGAGGGGGGGCCTGGGGGCAGAGGCCTAATGGCCTGGAGGCAGCTGCAGGCGGCCCTGGACGGCCACCCGCCCGCCCGTGGGTCCAGCAGGTTTGCACCCTGGCGCCCCGACAGCGGACTGTGCTCGGGATCAAGTCACACGGAGGCTGGAGTGAGGCCGCGCTCCCCCCCTCAGCTCTTCTGTGTTCCTCCTCCTGCTCGTCACAAAGAAGTACGGCCTGCCAGCCCTCCGCATCTTGGATTCAACCAACCAGGGATCGAAAGGATTCAAAAAGATATTCCAGAAAGGTCCGAAAGGAAACCTTGAATTTGCATCCTGCAGGCAACTGTTGACATAGCATTTACGTCGTATTAGGTATCGCAAGGAATCCAGACATGACAAGGTATGGAGAGGGCTGCTGAGAGAGTGAACTGTTGCGTTCCCATCACGAAAAATTCGTTTTTCTATTTCTTTAATTTTGTGTCTTTGTGAGATGCCAGCTGTTCACTCAACCTGTGATAATCATTTCATGATGTGTGCTTGTCACATCATGATGCTGTAAACCTTAAACATACACGGTGCTGTATGTCGATCATGTCTCAGTAAAACCGGAAGAAAAAAAGAAAAGAAAGTCTACGGGAGGATATGTGTCGGTGATGCAAATACTGTGCCGTTTTGTATAAGGGACTTGAGCACCCGTGGATTTTGGTGCCCACGGGGGCCCTAGAGTCGGTTCCCCGGATATGGGCAATGACTATAGAAGTCTCAGGTCCCGCTTGCTCTTCCAAACTCATTGGAAACTTGAGAAATGCTTGTCCCAGCAGGGAGCTGCCACTTTACACAGGTCAGACTGGCGAACTCAGAAAGCTGGGACCTGCAGGTGTCGGTGAGGATGGTGGGAGAGGATGGCTGGAGACCGGAGCCCGCACACTGCCGGTGGGATGCAGACAACAGGCTGGTCTTGGAAAGGCGTCGGGTTCGACTTGGTCACCTTAAGCTGACACACACGCTGTGGCTAATAGTTCCACCCTGGATGCGCAAATCACATAGAAAACTTCCCCCAGGCCTGAGCGCATCTGTGCGGGTCCTGAGTCACGAGGGGAAAATGTGGGGCCTCGCCCCGGCAGGATGGGAGGAGAGGCACCCACAGCAAGACAGGGCCATAGGCATGGCACCGAGTGACACTGAGACACAGAACAAGGTTTACAACGGCCCGGAATGCAGGCCCGCAGAACAGAATGGTCAGGTCAGCAATTAACTATTCATCAGACAGTTCGGAGGGCTGGGGGAAAAGTCCGAGTGGGAGGCTGGATAAAAGAATAAGTAAATAAAATGAGGGAGGCCGGGGCCGGTGCGGGGATAGCTGGCCGGTCACCTCCACCACAGGCACCAGAGGTTCAGATGGGGGAGGGACGGGAGGGGGAGGCCTCTGAGGAGGACGACGTGGGGATGCTGAGCCCTGCAGGGGGAGGGGACTGTGTTTCCATCCTTTTCCAGGGAGCACAGAACCTTCCAGGAAGTAGATGGGCTGAATGCGAGGCCTAGCCCCACCCCCACCCCCACCCCTATTAAGTATGAGGAATAGGAGACCTCAGAGAAAAGCCGGAGCAGCAGATTCCAGCAACCACCAGGGGCCCTGCTGAGGTCAGGCTGGGTCTGGAAAGCTGGCTGACTCAGCAAGTCTCTCCCATGAGCCAGGATTCAAAATCACGCGGCAATGGTGGGGAGGCAACATGTGACACAGGGACAGCGTGCATCCAAGGAGAGCTGGCCTGGCGGGCAAGTTAACCTTGGGAAATCTGAAGTCCGGACCTAAGGCCCCCACAGCTCTAGGGACTGGGCCACTTTAAGAGAATAGAGAGCACAGTGGAAAAAGCCAAACCTGGATAGAGGTGCGCCAGCCCGAGGAGGGGGCCCGGGTGGTCTTGCCCCGGAGCAGGGTGGGGGGGTGGCTGCGGGGTTCGGCGCTCTGAGCCTTGGTTTCTGAGGCTCATTTCACTCAGTGCGCAGTACACTGACCTCCCATCTCCTCCCAGCTCCTTTCTTTGCTTCTGATGCTGTCCCACCCGTTGGTCACCACCCGCAGCAGACTGGGGGACTGTGCAACTGAGAACAGCACGGCGCCGGGACAGGAGGAACTGAGCGCTTCCACAGCTCGCACTGACCTCGTTCCGAGGCGGGGAAAGCACATCCTTGCCTGCCTGTTCAGGACGCACAGGAGGAGCCCAGGAGGCAGCACCTGGACAAGGGGCACCTGTCCCTGGGAGTGTCCCCTCCAGTCACACTGCTGATGACAGCATGGCGTAGGCCTTGCGGCAAAGCCAGCCTAGCTCCGCGGACCATGCCTCCCCTTTAATCTCTTCTCCACCTGAGCACTAAACTACGAATCACTAGTCTCAACCGCAGACTCTGAGTCCACCAGACCCCCAATCAGCCCTGTGTCCCTCCAAAGTGGAGATGCCCTACAACCCAGCAGTCCCACTCCTGGGCATTTATCCAGAGGAACCTCTAATTCAAACAGACACCTGCACCCCGATGTTCACAGCAGCACTATTTACAATAGCCAAGACATGGAAGCAACCTAATTGTCCATGGACAGATGACTGGATAAAGGAGTTGTGGTGCATTTACACAATGGAATACTACTCAGCCCTAACAAAGAATATAATAATGTCATTTGCAGCAGCATGGATGGACCTAGAGATTTGCATACTGAGTGAAGTAAGCCAGAAAGAGAAAGAAAAATGCCATATAATATCACCTACATGTGGAATCTTAAAAAAAAAAAGGTCACAAATGAACTTATTTACAAAAGAGAGGCAGACTCACAGACATAGGAAATAAACTCATTATTTACTGGAGGGGAAAGGAGGTGGGAAGGGATAAATTGGGAGTTTGGGATTAGCTTATACTACTACGTATAAAATAGACAAAAGGGTCCTACTGTATAGATTAAGGAACTATACTCAATGCACTGTAACACCCTATAATAAAAAGGAATATGAAAAGGAATATTTATATATTTTTATATATCTACATAAATGAATCACTACGCTGTACACCAGAAATTAACACAACATTGTAAATCAACTACGCTCCAATTAAAAGAAAAGTGGAGGTTCCAAGCCAGCTGGCCGGAACACAGCCGTCACGGCTGCCTCTGGCTACCACCTTTGGGTTCCAGATAACCTGATGTGCTTCAGTCACAGGGAGAGGGTGACAGCCTTCCAGGCCCATTCTGGTGGGAGTCAGAAACCACGTGAATGAGTCCTTCTAAAAAGACCAGCGACAGAGGCAGCTCCTAGAGGTAAGCCTGTATCCAGGACAGACTTCACGTTTTGTTCAAAATGGAGAAAATGAGAAAGTAGCCCTTTGAGGGCAAGTCTCATGCCCCCCACACGGGAGGTCTCCCCTGCAGCGCTGGGCCCCATGCACAGCCCTTATGCAACAATCTATCTGATTTAAGCAACTTCACTGTGAAAACCTTATTAAAACTGACACGACACACTTCAGTCACAGTCATTTCCTAGAAAGTTTTTTTTTTCACTCATCACAGAAGGTAATTAAATCTGAAAAGGAATGGTGTTGACACATTTTTAAAATCATTATCAGGTTCTCTTTATTTGTGCAAATTAATTCTGTATAATTTATTTCTGTATTAAAAATATGCCAGCATACCTACTTACGAGACTTTGAAAAAAGGTACAGCTGACTATTTTAGGGCCCCACGCATTTTCCAATGCAATTTTTAATGGATCTTTTGTAATTTCACTTCATTCCCAGTCCCAACGCAGTTTTACTTAACGCATCCTGCACACGAAGTCTGTTTCCCTAACTCATGGTTTGCCCCGGGGTCTCCCAGGGGGACGAGGGGGTACCTAGCTTGGAATGGTGAGGGAACCACAGGAGAGGACCTTCCCTCCTCCTCCTCCTCCTCCTCAGCCTCGTCAACACGAATGACCAGTCGGGCAGAGCAGAGGCCAGAGGCTCACCTCACCGCTGCAGCTGGGCTGAGACCTGACCGTGGTACTCACCTCTCAGGACGGGCCTCTCACCGATGCTCCGGATGCTGTAGATGGTGCTGGACAGGGGCACATCTGGAATGAGCTCTGCGAGCAGGTACCCGGAATACCAGGCGCACAGGGAGGCAAGGACGAGGAATGCTGCCTTCAGGGTGCCTGCGGACACACAAGACACGAGTGGGCTTTCCTGACCCAACCCTCCACCTTCCCGAGACAGTGCTCGGCACCAGTGTCCACAGGATGCTCTGAGGGGAAATCACCCTGGAGGCTGGCGGGCGAAGGGCCCGGGGCCGCCTGATGGAGCCACGACGTCGGCTCATCGCTCCGAGGGCAGGCTTTTGAGATAAACCGGAGCAGGTAACGTGAACAGGATGTGAAGGCTCTCGAGGCCAAAGTTTCCCATTTGCCATTGTGCTGGGGCCCGGAGCTTCCTCAAATGCTCACGCCAAGGACTCATCAAGTGGCCTTGACACAGGCCTAAAAAGACAGAGGTGGCCCTTCCCTCTGCGAGACCCAGGAAGCGCCTGGAAGCAGGTGGAAATTCTGTTTTGTCTGCTGCTGGGCGACCAGTGCTGGGGATGGTACCTGTGTCCCGGGAACACGCAACTGCCCCTGTGTCACTGGAAAAAGTTCCCCACCATCATCATCCTCAGAGACAAGCCTGCAGGGACACCAGAGGTTCCCCTGGCAGGACGTCCCTGGAGATTATCTGATTGATAGGCTTCCAGAATCTTCCTCTCAGTTCCTCAGGAAAGGCATTTACTCCTTCCTCGGTTATCGGAGGTCTAGGGGACAGTTCTGTCCCTTCATAGACAATCTGCTCCTGGATCTTTGGCATTTCACTCCCTACATAGTTCACAGATCAGGACTGTGCAGGATTCCCAACACTGCCGAGACGAAGGGATGGCCATAGGCCTGCAGGAAAGCGAACTCAAGATGTCCCCATTGGCATTTATGTGCTAACAGGTCCAGTCCTAAGAAATAAAAGGAAGGAAGGAAGGAAGGAGAACAAGGGGGAGGAGAGGGGATGGAAGGGGAGGGGAGGGTGACCCCACACCCTCTCAGGCCAAACATCTGGAAACAGTCATCCTCTAGAGTGGCCTCCAGGCTGCTCCTTCCACCCATGGCAGCTGTGCTGGGCAAGGCCTCCAAAGGCCTCCCCATTGCCTGCCCCAGGCCCCTGGATGACAGTCCCGCCCTGTCTGTGTCCTCCCCGGACGGCTCCTACGCTCCCGAGGGGCCCCCACCTCGCGGGCAGGCCCGGCCTTCCCTGCTGGCTTTCCCTGGCAGGGTGCATCCCGGACCTGTCCTCAGGATCCTAGATGAGGTCACCCAGACTGTCCTCTGGGTTCCTGACTATGACGTCCCCTTTCCAACCCCCATCAGCACCCTGGGAGGCCCCGCAGGGCCTCACATGTCACATGTCCCAGATGAGGCCCTAGATTCTCCCCGGCTCCCCAGATCTGTCCCTGCCCCGAGTCTCTCCCAGCTCAGCTGGACAGACAGGGCCAGGCACCAGAGACGAGGGCTTCGTCCTTGATCCCACACCCCACTCCTAGCCTTCAGTGGAGCCCATCAGCCAGTCTTGCTGGGGCGGCCTCCAAAATCAACCTCACCTCCACAGACTTCTCTCGGCCTCTACTGCCTCCAACTCCCCAGGCCACCACCACCCTAGCTTATCTCCTTCGCAGGTGGTGAAACCCCCACACCCAGGGGTGCTCCGTATGGAGCATTGATGTATCAAAAGGAGTATAATAAAGAGAACGTCTTGCAGGGGTAGGGTATAGCTCAGTGGGAGAGAGCATGCTTAGCATGCTCGAGGTCCAGGGTTCAATCCCCAGCACCTCCACTAAAAAAAAGTTAAAAAAAGAATACATGTGATCTTTATCCCACTTCCCCACGCAAAATACCTAAAACCCTGGAACTCCCTGATCAGGGGGTCTGCTGTCTTGGTTCATAAGGAGCCCCTTTCAGCCACACCAGGGTTTATGCTAACAAGGTAACTGGGTGCATCTTTGGATAGCTTCTGGGGAGGGGCTGGCCATGCTGGAAAGACCCAGTCTGTGACTGGGTCACATGGTCGGGGCTGACACATCATCCCCACCCCCGACCTCCAGGAGGGGGGAGGGAATGGAGCTGAGCTCAGTCACATGACCAGCGATGCACTAAGACCCCAGTGAAGCTCTGGAGGGCTTCCTGGTGGTGAGCACACTGATGTGGCAGGAGGTGATGTGCCCCGACACCAAGGGCGGGGCACAAACTCCCACTCCGGGACCCTCCCAGTTTCTGCCCCGTACGTCCCTTCATTTGGCTGGTCCTCCTGATTTGGATCCTTTCGAATAAAACTATAATTGTAAATATAGTAATGTCTGTAGTGTTTCTGTAAGTTGCTGGAGGAAATTATCAAACCCCCAGGAGGGGTGGGAACCCCCAGATTTGCAGCCAGCTTCTCAGAACCGTGGGCAGCTCCCGAGACCTGTGGCTGGCGTCGGAAGAGAGGGCAGCTCATGGAGGACGGGTCCCGTAACCCGTGGGCGCTGGCGCTGACTGTGTGGTCAGGTCAGAGCTGAACTGAATGGCTGGACATCCAGCTGGTGTCAGAGGCTCCGCGTCTTCCCACCCAGAGCCCTGAGCAGGCACCAGTGGGCGTTCCCTTGCTGCTTTTCTGAGTGCGCAGCCCCCCACCCTCCAGCACCCAGCCAGAGGTGCCCCCTCTCTCCGGGCAGTGATGCAACGCCAACCTGTCCGTCAGCCTGGCCGTGTTGAGCCCTGGATCTCAGCCCCCTCTTCCTTTCTAGCACCTAGAGGTTCCCCCTCACTGAACCCCCACTGGTTAAGCTTTGTCGGGTCCGTGTGTGCCGATGCACGGGCACTGGCTAGTTTGTTAGGCAATCATCCTGGTGGAATGGGATGCCTCCACCTCGCCTTGACCATTTGGTTGTTTTTCAAGTTCATGTGTCAACATCAATCATTTTTTTCTCTTTTACAAACCATGCAGTCTCTACGATTGTTAGGACATAACGCAGAGATGGCTTCCTGTTGCGAAATGCCTGAGACAATGTGGCCATTGCAGTTCCCAGGACAGAGGGACCTCTCCAAGCCAGAAGAAGCCACAGAAAAGACAGAAGCACAAAAGCAATGGATGAAGCAGGCGTGCTGTCCTGGGCTCCAGCTGTGCTGACCTGCTGCAGCTGCTGCCCTTTCCTGCTGTCTCTGTGTTTGAGTTTGTCCCTCTGCCTCTGGGGCGCCCTCGTCCACAGACCCCTGGCCATCTCTCTCTCCACTTCCAAGGACCCCAGCAGCTCTGGGGCCCCTCCTTGGTGCAGCCCATACAGGGACGCAGCATACCAGCCCCTCTTCTCGAGGTCTGCATCCACACTCCTAAGCCGGTGTGAGGGTCCAGTGATGTTCCAGGACACACTGTTGGACGCACGCTGACTGCGGGAAACAGGGATTCAGCATCCACAGAGTCTCAGGTCCCAAAGCAACAGCGCACTGTGCCCCGTGCCTCTGAGCACAGCCAAACTACTTTATCCAAGCGTCACATTTGAATAAGAAAATTCGCAAAGCAGAAATTATTCAGAAGACTTTCTAGACCCCATGTCACACGTGAGATCTTTAAGCAAAGAGCTGCTGTTTCAATGGGAAAAGACTGAAAGGGAGCATGGTGTCACCTCTCAGATGCCTTCCATCCTGCACGGAAGGGAGGCCCGCCTTCATCCCCAGGTGAACAAGGACAAGCAGGTAGAAGTGACAGAGAAGAAAATGAAGAGTGAATCAAAGCCACGCCTCCTGACAAGGACAGCCCTGGGCATTTTCTGGCTCCAAGAAAGGCTATGAAGTGTCCGTGCTCCAGGCGCAGGCGTCCGGAGGAAGGGAGCCTTGGAGCCAGAAGCACCTCAGGGTGGGGTGGGGGCAGACCCAGCAGCCCGCACGGGACCAGTTCATCCTGAGAAGACAGGGTGCAGGCTGGCGGCGGACCCCGCACCCGGTGGGGGCGCAGGGGAGGATTCGTCTTGGGAAAGGTGGGAGCGCAGGGACTCGGCTAAGACAGCCCCGGGTGGCCAGCCCTGGCAGGAGGGGCCCAGCAGCTTCCGACGTGGGGGAGGAGGGAGAGGAAGGACAGAGTCCAGGAACCATGCGGGATTATGTAACCAGGACCCGGCCTACTCTCGGAGAGTAATCAAGTCGCCATCAGCCCACAGACACCCCCTCCCAAGTGCTTCCACCCCGCGGGCACAGGTGAGAGAGCAAAGGCCAATTCTGAGCCCCGCAGGAGGTCGGGGACTTCCTCCTCGGAGGCCCTCCCGTAGGGCGCGCGTGTGTTCCCGCCGCCCGTGCGGACCTGTGTGCGCGTGCACATGTGTGTCC